GACCCTCTGAAGAGCATCCCATCCAGACCCAACCCATCCCTGCATTCCCCATGGCTAACCCACCTAGCCTGCACATCCTGGTCTATGGGCAATTTAGCACGGCCAATCCACCTTCCCCGCACATCTTTGGACTGTAGGAGGAAACCCATGCAGACATGGGAGAATGTGCAAATTCCACACAGCCAATCATCCAAGGCTGGAATCAAACCCAAGTCCTTGGCATTGTGAGGTATCAGTGCTACTGTACCACCCTTCTGTAATTCATGAACCATGGCCAACAAATTAGTTAAGAGACAGGAGGTTTATGCTAAGAGAACAGGTTTACCCAATTATGAAGTATTGGAGTCCACAGACCAGTAGAGTCATCTAATGTGATAAAGACCATAAGACATAGGAGCAGAAATTAGGCCATTCGGCCCATCAAGGCTGCTCCACCATTAAATCATGGCTGATAAGTTCCTCAACCCCATTCTCCTGCTTTCTCCCCGTAACCCTTGATCCCCTTGATAATCAAGAACCTATCTATCTCAGTCTTAAATGTAATCAATTACCTGGCCTCCACAGCCTTCTGTGGCAGCGAATTCCATAGATTCACCACTCTCTGGCTGAAGAAGTTTCTCTTTATCTCTGTTCTAAAAGGTCTTCCCTTTACTCTAAGGCTGTGCCCTCAGTTCCTAGTCTCTCCTACCAATGGAAGCGTCTTCCCAAAATCCACTCTGTCCAGGCCATTCAGTATTCTGTAAGTTTCAATTAGATCCCCCTTCGTTCTTCTAAACTCCAATGAGTATAGTCCCAGAGTCCTCAAACGTTCCTCATATGTTAAGCTTTTCATTCCTGGGACCATTCTTGTGAACCTCCTCTGAACCCGCTCCAGGGCCAGTATATCCTTCCTGAGATATGAGGCCCAAAACTGCACTTAAAAAAGGTTCTCATATAATATAAGAAGCAGTGAAAAACAAGAATATAAAAATGCTTGCAAGAGATTTCACAGCTAACTTCATTTTTTTTGTTAATTGATTTAGAAAAATAGAATGGTAAAAGGGAATGCGGGCCTATTATTGAATGATGCAGGTAAAATGACAATGGAAATAAGGAATTAGAAGACTTGTTACATTAGTAGTTTGTATTTATTTTTACAGTAGGAGAGGTAAGAAATACCAACAGCACAAGATTCTAGAAATAAATAAAGTGCAGGAACTTGGTGGGTTAAATCTAACTTTTAAATAGTCATAAAGAAAATAATGGAACTTAAGATAAACAGATCTCCAGGACCTGATGTGCTTCCTGTTTCCATGGGAAACAAAAATTAACAATTAGTTAAACTAAAACAACACTTGTTACAAACTTTCAAGGCCCTATGAATGGCCAACTTTGGAAACCCAGTGAAATTATTAAGTTTCTTCGGAGTGAGTTATAATCAAATCAATGGGAGGTTTCAAAAAACCAACCTAGTTAGTAATTAATGTCTTAAAATAACCTAAATATATATGTAACACCACTATTTGAATAAACACACAAAAAGAATTAAAAGAAGGGGGAGATTGAATATATTCTATAATTGATATAAAAATACACGACTGCGTGGAAGTAAAAACTTCTTGTATATAAAATAAAACTATTTGACATGCAAAGATATTTTCAACAAATTTCACTTCATTATAATGTAGAATTAGCAGCACTTTTTTAAAGATTCAAGTACGATAATATTAATTCTATTCACTGAGAGTTAACTTTCTACTAGATATATTTGCACTCACAAAACCTCTGGCTCTGCTTTAATTTTGACCAAGACCTGCATGTTGTTCATATTGTTTTACTTTATTTACAAGCTTTGGGGTTGTTTTGAGCTTTGCGTGATAGTGTAAAGTGGATGTTAATGACTCAACATTCATTTTTAAATCTCTTCCAAATTTAATTTTGATTGAACTTAAAGGAATTAGCAACTGGACAGAAATATAAAATGGGTAGTCAAGTTATTACAACTACATTGACTCAGTTGTCCAAAGTCAAAATCAGCCCCTATTTTCTTTTCAGCACAACCAACAAATCAAATGCAGGATACAGTCACCTGGGAAATGTTATTATTGATTGAATGGGAATGGTGTCTGAATGCCTTGGGACCTGTCAAAATTACGGGAATGTGGTTGTTGAGGGTGTGTGGTGTTGATATCATGGCACATATAGACCCAAGAAGCTTTCCTGAGGTGTTTTAAATTACCCCTTGTGTGGTTCATTCTTTCTACATGTTGTTTTTATTCCATTCCTAAGTACCCCCCGACTGAGGTGAGGAAACGATGTGTGGCTTCTGAATCACTAACAAGTTGGCTATGGTTCGGAAGCATCTGAAATCAACACACTGATTTGTGTGCAATGATACCATGTATTTTGTTATCCAGTTGTTGAGGGATTGGGACGTGGGGGGAAGGGTGCCTTTCTTAAACAGTGCCTGTCGTTAATTGCAGAAGACAATGTGTTGGGCCAGAGACATCATTCCTCCCATTAGTTGAATCTTCCTTTGCTTCTCCACACCACTGGAGACCATTTTCTCATGAGACTCAAATCTGACTGATGGTAGAACATGGAATGTCCACAATGTGTTGAAGATTCCTACAATGCCTCATCCTCAATGACATGCAATAGATGCAATGTGTCTGAAGCAAGTGCACCTGATTTTGCTTCATTTCCATTGTAACCTAATGGCCAATATGTTGTCTAAAGAAGACAGTAGATTGGACATTATTAGCATCTAAGCACATTTCTCCATTTAGAAACTGTACTTTCATTGATTGAACTATGAAGTAGCAGGCTGAAATATATAATGAGGATAATACATACCATCCCTCCAAGAGTTCCCATTCCTACAAATTGTGCCACATGCTAATCATGGTTTGATTAAAGTTTCTTCCAGTCAGTCCTGCTTCATACATTGCCCTAGTATTCAGAACAAAGTGGCCTTCAATCATAAGAAGAACATAAATTAACAATTGCAATGCATTCATCATCTTACTGGTGTGAAAATTGCATGCCCTTCACTAAGTTTGATACCAAAATGGGTAACCTTGAACTCCACATTAGTGCTCATGTGGTTTATGGCATTATATTCATCAGATGACTGTCAATATTTATTAAATACCATTTTTAACAAAATACACTGAAGAGGATTCTTAGTGTGTGTCCTATAAAACATATTAAGATATGTTAAAATACATATCATGTCAACCAAACTCTGGTATGTTCTTCAGATCCAGTATAACCTTCTTTTGCCTCTCCCACTGCTGGGCATCTTCAGCCTTAGACTAAAACATTCAGCACTTTATCTTCAGAAAACTATCTATTGGAATCTTGATGTCCAAGTCCAAATTGTCAATTTCTATTTTGTTGGGTTCTGTGCATGTCACAGCTCTATGGATCACATACTCACTGTCTATACAAGGACACTGTCTGTGCCCCTGGTTCAATCTGGTTATGTTGGTCCCTCTTTTGTCACACAGTTGCATTTGGATAAAATGGAAACATTAAGCAAAACCAAAATGGCCAACTGCGTCAAATTCAGCACAAATTGGTGTAAATTGGTGACCTCAGTGTTGGAAGCTGCTGGACAGATGATAAAGATATAATGGGAATACCACTAATGAAGTCAAGGATGAGTCTAAGACATATCGATGGCCAAAGATTTGCTCTGAATCCAAACTTCATGAACACAAGTTGAGAAAACCACATGATGTTCATTTCAGCCTCAGATTTTCTACTCTCCATTTCTAACTGGTTACTTTTTTTTTACCATCTTCTCAACAAATACCATGTTCCATGAACTGACATGGATCATCTTTATGTTCATTTATTTAATTCTTAACTCAGTTCAAACTCTGAAATCTGGCGAGACCTTCTTAATTCCAAAACTGCTGATTCACTTTGGATGTTTCTTCTCAAATGCATTATTGGAAAATTCTTAGGAATTCTGAAAGTGGTTGATTCATGAATAATAATCACTCTTTACATTTAGTGTCTTGTTTGCTCAGTACTGTGGTGTCCCTATTTATCCATTAAACATTCATATGTAATTATACTTAGTCACGATTTGGTGTGAAATGCAGTAAAAGCAAAATACTGCGGATGCTAGAAATCTGAAATAAAAACAGTAAATGTTGGAGAAACTCAGCAGGTCTGGCAGCATCTGCAGAGAGAGAAACAGAGTTAATGTTTCAGTTCTATGACCTTTCATCAGAGCTGATCTGATGAAGGATCGCAGATTTGAAAGGTTAGCTCAGCTTCTCAATGGAAATTATTCTAACCAGGCAGTCAGAATGGATGTGGGGTTGGGGTTAGGTCTGTCAGGAAGAAGAAAAAGTGGCCCACCCTTTCTGTGGAACCAGAATCATTCTACCTGGTGACAAAAAGTGCTTTAAATTCCTCCTAATAGAAATAGGCAGGGTATTCACAGCACGTGCCCTTCTACAGAATTGTGTAGGACCCTAACTTGCAGATTTAAAAATATCTCTTATCCAAAACAAGGGGATATGTACTCACTCATAACAATGGCTGAAAATTGCTTCAAAAAAAGATTTGGGCTTCTAAGAAGGTCTCAGCTTCTTTCCCTCCTGAAATATCTTCATGAGAAATAAATGAGCAGCAGTTCCAAACTGGTGCTTTTGTGTCTACTCCAGCCCTAGGAAGGCTACTGTTCATTTCTCAGGCTCAGTATTGATTTTCCTCTAAACCCCCAGTTGTTGGAAAGAACCACATAAACCAATGGTAAGCAACAGAAAATCAGATGGGAAGAGGAAAGTTCTCTCTAAAAACCGCCCATAATAATCCAGATGTTTCCTCAGAAATGTTTTAAGTGGATGTCCTGTAGACATTATATGGACTGAGAGATAATGGTTCACTCTGGGTATAATGGAAATTTGTTGTATAAAACACTAGGATGCCTTGGAACTCTTTGTTCATTTTCAGAATAAAAATCTGACTGCCCTGACTGTGCTAAAGCTTTTCTTTATTTATTACCTACTTTCACTGGTTTCTGCCAATCTGTTATTCATAATGGCTAAAGCTCCCACTCCACCTGAGAAGCCATTCTGCCTTGTGTTGACACACACTGTCCGAGGATGACCATTGGCAGTTTCTGACAGCTGCTTCTGCAGGATGGCAAGTGACACCTTGTTGGAGGCAGTGAGGTCCCTTATGGAGATCATTTCTCCAGAGAGCCTCCGTCCCTCCCCGTCACTGTCACATGGCCCCTCGCCATCTGCAAAGACCTGGTTCCTACGGATTCGAGATTGTCCCGGGGTGATGGCATTCCGCCGTCCAGTGCGCATCTTTCCTCTCCGACACCTCGGGCAGCATCTACACTCCAGTTTCTTCAGTACCCAGTTGAGGAACTGTTTGATCACAATGGAGATGACATTGAAGAGTGAATAGATGCAACACACCCCCAAGAGTATGAATACAAAATTACCAAATCTGTACAATCCCTGATTTGTATAGGCTGCGTTCTGACTGCTGACCAGATCCCCGAAGCCAATAGTACTGAAGGTGACAAAGCAGAAGTACAAGGAGTCAGCATAATTCCATCCTTCCACTGGTGTGTACATTGCGGATGCACAACAGGAGATTATAATGGCTGCGATGCCAAGGATCAACATAATGTAGTACACAGATGGCTTCCACCCTGTCAAGATAGCCATGTCTGTTACAGCTGATTGCCGGCGAATCATGGGAGGGAGCAGGCCTTTACTCCGTAGCTGCCTCTGGTGGTACGCCTTCATGATGAAAGCCAGCAGGGTAATAGTGCGCTCCAGGAAGAGGTTAAAAAACAAAATGGTTCCTGCACATCCAAGAAGGCCATAAAATATCAGAAACACTTTTCCTGCCATTGTTGCTGGAGTCGTCATGCCAAAGCCTAAAGCAAAACAAAGGAAAAGAACGGGTTTTATGGTTTCGTCAATCACACTTTTTATAATCCTTTAACTGTATAGTGAGGAGCCTTCAATTACCAGATTCCCTATTGCCCAATTATATAAACTGTCTAGAATGTCCCGTATGGCTAATTGATTAATTAATGAACAGCTTCAATGTAGAATTAACATAACTTAAAACAGTTCAACAGGAATAATTAGACTTTCAGTTCTATAAATTATTAATTTATGCAAACACGGCAGTTTCCCAAATGGAGAACAAATTGTATTCCATCAAAAACTTTTTTTCAGCTTTAACTGCCAACAGGTTTACTAAACATGAATGAAGTATATATAAAACCAAATCAACTATATTTTTCACAAAAATAGTTAAACTCATTTGATTTTTCATTGACGAAAATAATTAGCAACTTGTACTTTCTTTGCTAAGCTAAATTTGAATTAAATTTTATCCATTGCTGTTCTCTTTACCTTCTCATGAACAGCAGTTTTGACTAACTAATGGTCATGAAAATGTAGGAGTAAAAGTACGCCATTTGAAAACTCCAGTTTGCTCTGCCACCTGATGAGCTCATGGCTGATCTGATAATCCTCAACTCCACTTTCCTGATTTATACCCATAATACTTTCTGCCCTGAATTATTAGAAATCTTTCTATCTCAGCCTTCATTATACTGAACAACAGAGCCTCAACAGCCCTGAGTGGTAACAAATTCCACAGATCCACCACCGTGTGAGAGAAACAAATTCTTCCTCATATGTTTTAAATTGGTCACCACTTACTCTGAGGTTATGCCATTCAGTCCTAGATTGTCTCACTGGAGGAAACAACCTCTCCATCTAATGATCTTATGTCTAACAAACTCTCCATCCTCGATCCTTGTCAAGTCCCTTAAGAACTTTATACATTTCAGTAAGGTTGCCTCTCATTTTTTTAAAGTTCAAAGAGTACAGGCTCAACCTGCTCAATCTCTCCTCATAAAAGAACACCACCCCCCCCCCCCATACCCAGGATCAACCTCGTGAATCTTCTCTGAGCTGCCTTCAATGCCAGTTTATCTTTCCTTAGATGAGGGCACCAAAACTGACCATTATATTTCAGCTATGGTCCAACTAGTGCCTCATACAGTTTTAGCAAAACCACTCTTATTCTGTATTTCATTCATTTTGAAATAAAGGCCAGTATTCAATTTATCTTCCCTCTTACCTGCTGAACCTAGATGCTAGCATTTTGTAATACATGCACTAGAGACCACAAATGGCAGGATTCTCAGCAGTGTGGAGGAACAGAGGGATCTAAGTGTCCACGTCCATAGATCCCTCAAAGTTGCTACACAAGTTGATAGGGTTGTAAAGAAGGCGTATGGTGTGTTGGTTTTCATTGGCAGGAGAATTGAGTTTAAGAGCCCTGAGGTTATGCTGCAGCTCTATAAAACTCTGGTTAGACCACATTTGGAATATTGTGTTCAGTTCTGGTCACCTCATTATAGGAAAGATGTGGAAACTTTAGAGAGGGTGCAGAGGAGATTTACCAAGTTGCTGCCTGGATTGGAGGGCAGGTCTTATGAGGAAAGGTTGACGGAGCTAGGGCTTTTTTCATTGGAGCGAAGAAGAATGAGAGGTGACTTGATAGAGTTGTACAAGATGATGAGAGGCATAGATAGAATGGATTGTCAGAGACATTTTCCCAGGGTGGAAATGACTATTATGAGGGGGCATAATTTTAAGATGATTGGAGGAAGGTATAGGGGAGATGTCAGAGGTAGGTTCTTCACACAGAGAGTGGTGGACGTGTGGAATGTGCTGCCTGCAGTGGTAGTGGAGTCAGATACTTTAGAGACTTTTAAGTGACTCTTGGATAGGCGCATGGAGGATAGTAAAATGTAGGGTATGCAGGGTAGATTGGTCTTAGTAGGATAATAGGTCGGCACAACATCATGGGCCAAAGGGCCTGTACTATGTTGTACTGTTCTATGTTCTATGTTCAAATCTCTCTGTGATGCAGATTTCTGCAGTCTTTCCCCATTTAAACATAAGTTTATATATTCTTCCTGACAATGTGTATAAATTCAAATCTTCCCACAATATATTCCATGCATCAAGTTTTTGCTCATTCATTTAACTAGTTTGTATCCCTCTGTAGATTCCTTATGCCTCTTCACCACATGCCTTCCCACCTATTTTTGTATCACCTACAAATTTAACAACAATATATTCACTTCCACCACCCAAGTCATTAATATATTGTAAATAATTGTGACCCCAGTACTGAACCCTGTGGCACTCTATTAGTTACAGAGAGTCGTCCTTAATCCTTTATCCCACTCTCTGTCTTCTATTAGTTAGCCAATCCTCTATGCATTCTAAATAATATCTCCAACACCATAGGGTTTTATCAAATTTAGCAGCCTTATGAATGGCACCTTATCCAATGCCGTTTGAAATCTAAATGTATTACATCTACTGATTCTCCTTTATCTACTCTACCTGTTAGCTGTAGAACTGTAATAAATTTGTCAGGCATGATTTCCTCTTCAGAAATCTTTTGAAATTTCTCACAGAATTACTTTGAAGATCAGTGTTAACTTATGGTATATATCCTAGCATACATGACTCTGAACCAGAAGGTAATGCTTTAAAGTCCCACTTTGTGAGTTCAGATCAAAATTCAAGACTGATACCTTAGTGTAGTGATGCACAGTTGGAGGTACCATTTTTCTGATGAAATGTTAAACTGTTGTGCTGTCTCTTCCTTCTCAGATGGACATTTAAAAATCCCTAGGCACAATTTCAAAGGAGAGTAGGAGAGTTTACCTGAAATTCTGTCCAATATTATTCCTCAGTCAATGACACAGAAAAAAACGACCTGGTCTTTATCATGTTGCTATTTGTAGGAGTTAAGTGCACAATTTGTTTGCTATGTTTCCTACACTGTAGGAGTGACTACATTTCAAAAGTATTTCCATGGCTTTTGTTTTATTACAGTTATCCTCTGCCTTTTTGAAAGCCTCTTGGAGACATTAATTAGAAGAAAATCAGACTGATTTATCCCTTTAAAAACAACAGCTAGAGACATATGGAGGCTAAATAGCTATTAATTGAATTCCAAAAAGCTGAAGACCAGACACATATTTGAATAAATGATACTGTGTGATAATATTTGATTTGAATAGCTCACCTCCTCCATAAATCAAACAGCTCATCATAGACTAAATGTCCCAGCCATATGTTGAATGAAACTGGAATATGAGTTCTGTGAGTGGTGGACTTAAATTTATTTTTGTGCTTTGACAGAACAAAGGCCAATATGAATTGAATCTTCGACATAAATGCTTAATTTTTCATAAAGCTTATATTGAAACTAAACCACGTATGATATGAACTAGTCTGTTTTTATTCCACACAAATCCTGTCAACTCTAATTATCTCCCACGCACACACACACCCCCACACTGTCTTACTTTCTAATCCTTTCTCCTTATGTATGCATGCATTCTGATCCCAAAGTTATCAATGCTTTGATTATTCTGTGTTTACACTCCTCTCCATGTAAAAAATCCTCCTAAATTTTGACTTCATTTGTTTACTTTTGACATTTGTTTAATATTAAATTCATATAGTTGATTTTTAAAATTAAATGCTGATATTGCAGAAATATAATGTAACACCATTGTCAAATATCAAAAAGAGTTCCAAAAATCAGGTAAGTTGGCTAATATCTGTCATTGGGAAAATGTTAGTGTCTACTATATGAGTATTTGGAAATGCATAACATAATCAAACAGAGTCAGCTTGGCTTCATGAGGGGGAAATCATACCTGACCAATTTGTTAGAATTCTCTGAAGAAGTACAGGATAGATTTAGATTTCCAAAAGACTTTCCATTAGGTACTGTGCATAAGACTACTTAAATAAATAACAACTCATGGCTTTGGGGACAGTATGGATAGAAGACTGGCTAATTTATAGAAAACAGGAAGTTGGAATAAAGGGCATTTTCAGGATTGTAACCTGCACCTAATGCAGTGATATAGGGATCAGTACTGGGGCCACAATTATTTACAATATATATTAATGATTTGGATGATGGAAGTAAACATACTATCTCCAAATTTGCAGATGACACAAGAATAGGTGGGAAGTTAAATGGAGAGGATGACAAGCATCCGTAGAGGGATAGAAAGGTTAATTGAGGGATTCAAATCTTGGCAGATGGAACATAATGTGGGACAATATGAGATTATGAACTTTGGCTGGAAGAATACAGGAGATGAATATTATTTAAGTCAGGAAAATCTGCAGAAAGCTGCTGCACAGAGGCATCTAGGAACCTCAAGTATAAATCACAAAAAACGCAGCTTTCAAGTTTAGCAGGTGATAGGGAAGGCAAATGGAATATTGGCCTTAATTTAAAAGGGAGTGTAGTATAAAAATAATGAAGTCTTGCTAAAACTACAAAAAGCACTATTTAGACTACACCTACATTACTGAAACAACGTTTGTCCCTTTATCTTAGGAATAAAAGTGTGCTACAAACAATACTCCAACACCAGACATGTCAGAGAATAGAGTACTTATAACTTAGAATTTCACAATTAAGAATTCTTGCTGTTGACCTCAATCTTATTGGAATGGTGGAAGGAGGTAAGCTGATTAAAGTCAAGCAACACATGGTCAGGAACAGCTAATCTTACAATAACAAGTCAAGAAATATTAAATTAAGGAAAAGGCATCATGGAACAACTGCTCAAAGGATAATCAGTAGCAGGTTTCATAGGGTTCACTAGACGAAGGAGCAGCGGTCTGAAAGCTTGTGATTTTATATAACCTGTTGGACTATAACTTGGTGTCGTGTGACTTCTGACTTTGTCCACCCCAGTCCAACACCAGCTTCTCCATATGATAGTAACGAGAGACAGTATATGGTAGATCAGGGTCGGATGGTGATAGACAAATGACATTGACAACACAGGAGAAGGCTATC